GAGGTTGATACGAGCATCAACAGCTTCGCGTTTGCCGAAAAGACTGAGGGCACCAATGAGAATGCCTGGAAGAGCATTGGTAAGACCATTGAGAGCAGATTGACCAACTTGTTCCCAACTAAGGAGAAAATCAATCAGTATATCGATTCATAGCAGCGTTGTGCAGAAATGACATGATCAGTTGTCCGAGTATGCAAAACAACCACTACTATGAAAACGCTGGTGGATGATAATGTAAAGAACTTTTCATAATAGTTCATCGAGCTTAAACTTCCGTACGTCTTGTGGGATATATTTACTTACGATGGACTTCTTAAAGTGTAGCGAGAGATTCCTGAGGCTTATGCTTTTATGACGTGAGGAAATGGTAAGTATGACTTGTATTCCCCATTTTACAAGTAGTATTTAGAACACACGTGTTGCAAACATACGTCAACAGAATATTCTCAAAGTTACTGTTGCTTGAATGTACCCAATACTCTAATGCTATCGATCATTTCGTCGGAACAAAAACTGAAGAAGTTAGCATCTTAATGTTTTCAATATACGTATTGTACATAATTTCTGTTCCTAATTTGATCTCGACAATATATCGTACAGTGTATCTTAACACAAGTAAGAATTCAAGTCGTAATTCCAAGGGGCAACAAACTGATTTCTGATTTCTGGGTTTCATATTTCCTTTTGATTTCATTGATTTCGAGTGATCTCTCCGCTAGAAATCAGTTTTTCCCCCTTGCGTAATTGTCATAGCATCTACGAATAAGTTTCGCAATCCATAAAATCGAACCAGCCCACTGTATAACTTCGTTACGCTTTTCTTGCTGTACTATATTCGAAAAAAGTGGAAACAGATTAGACATTAATATATGACAGACGAATCTATTTTATACGATTACACGTTGCAGAAGCCCTCTATATCAAGTTGAACTGCTCAGGACAGTTGCCAAACTATGTTTATACTGTCACTTAATTCATATACGTACGTAACTCTTACTCACATTATATAAATTCTTGTCACATCCTGAAGCGATCACACGGTTTCTAAACAATTCCTAGAGTCCGATTAATCTTACTCAATACGCATTTGGCGGAGTTGTGGAACGAATTGGGTGACGATTTGTTGAATCGCTTGACCGAGTGTAGCTGGATTCCAGTTGTTACCAGCAGCGGCAACAACGGTGGCGAAGAATTGGTTTTGTAATTGTTGAAGTTTGTCTGAGCTCAAGAATTGGGCGACTTGTGGGATGAATTGTTGTAATTGGAGTTTGTCAGCTAAGGCAAGGATGTCATTGAGGTTGATACGAGCATCAACAGCTTCGCGTTTGCCGAAAAGACTGAGAGCACCCATGAGAATGCTTGGAAGAGCAGTGGCGAGACCATTGAGAGCAGATTGACCAAGTTCTTCCCAACTAAAATTATGTATCATCCATGAGATATAGCTCACACTTATCGTCGAACTCACTCGATACGCATTTGACGGAGTTGTGGAACGAATTGGGTGACGATTTGTTGAATAGCTTGACCGAGTGTGGCTGGATTCCAGTGGTTACCAGCAGCAGCGACGACTGTGGCGAAGAATTGGTTTTGTAATTGTTGAAGTTTGTCTGAGCTCAAGAATTGGGTAATTTGTGGGATGAATTGTTGTAATTGGAGTTTGTCAGCCAAAGCAAGGATATCATTGAGGTTGATACGAGCATCAACAGCTTCGCGTTTGCCGAAAAGACTGAGGGCACCAATGAGAATGCCTGGAAGAGCATTGGTAAGACCATTGAGAGCAGATTGACCAACTTGTTCCC